TTTTCCCCCTTGTGGTGGTCCCCCCGAGGCACATGCCGCCTTGGAGGTGCCCTCGGAGGCCCTGGGCAGGTCCGGCTCGGTGGCATGGCCCTAGCTCGGGGCCACCTGCCCCCAGGCATCTCCACCTGGTGGCAAGGCTGAGCCTCGCCAGCGCAGGGTCCCATCTGGCCGGTGGCTCCCGCGCCGTCTCCGCGCGTGGAGGGCACCGGCAGTGGGACGTACGCGTTGGGTTAGCCGGGCGGTCAAATACATGTGATTTGCACGCAGCTGGAGGCACTGAGCTCCGCGCCAAGCTCCTGAGTGGGAGGCGGTGGCGATCGTGTCACTATCTCTGTTGCATGGCCCTCAAGGTGCAGGTCAGGGTCAGCCCTTGAGCTTACTAGTCCCCAGATAGGCTCGAGCCTGTTTGTTCACCGTGTTACCAAAGCGCCCTTGCAGGTGTCTGGATCTTGTGGTCCTGGTAGTTTGGGGCATTCTGGGCAGTGGGTCTGTCAGGTGGAGCACAGCTGGGGTCGTGTTGTCCCTCATGCAAGAGGCTGTGAGGGAAGAAGAGGGCAGTGTCAGCCTGGTCACAACTCTTCTCCCATGGCCCCTGCATGAGGGGCCAAAGTGGCACTGAAATTGCCAGTCACTGTTGCCGAAAATCCCAACAACACATGTAGAAAAGGGCAGCATGTAGGAAGGGGCAGCAGGAGTCCACCAGAAGCTGAAGTCTGGTTCTGCCCTCGCATCCACAGCAGCCTTCCCTTGAGGTTGGTTGCAGTTTTGGGGTCCCCAGGGAATAGAAGCTCTTGCTGGCCGAGCCCTCCCAGGGTTTCCAGTCTTCCTTGCAAGCGTTCCCGGGTCTCGGTGTCAGGTAACAGCACCCGAGTGTCACATGCTTGGGGCTGTCTCCAGCAGTAATGTGAGGGACAAGTGGCGCAGGGCGCCGAGGCACTCGGCGAGCGCGGAGGAAACCGGAGAGAGCCGCGCCAGGCTGATCCCGGGCAGCTGTCGAGGCTGGGCACCCTCACCGCGCACGCACGGCTGCTTTGTGATGGGCCACTACTGGGAAACACTGGGAAACACGTCAGCAGTCATGGAGCTGGTGGTTTTCCACCCTGTGTTTTTCCTTCTCTTACCCTTAAGAGGAGGAAATGCGCTTGTGGTGTGTGATGGTCATAGAAAGAGGAGCTTTGAGTTGGTATCTAATGGGTCCTGAGCTAAAAATCACGGAGTGTCTAATGGCTGGAACTGCAGGAGAGGTCTCCGGGGGAAAAGATGAACTCCTCAAACACACCAGTTTTGACTTGCGGTGTCCAACCGAGTGGCTTCCTGATATTGCAGGGCTGTGCTTAGCCTAAGAGAAATGAGCATACTTAGTTCCTGGAAGTAACCTTTAGTTTAACTGGAGCTTAGTGCCAGTGGCCTTTACAGTTTGGCAGGCACAGATGATATGACCTTTACCTTCCCGCACCTGCGTGGGTGTTAGGAGCTCCCTGCTTGTCCAGGGACTAACGAAAGTATTTTTGCTGTGACATTTCCCTTGGTGCAGTCTGGAGGGATGACACTTCCTTGGAGGACCTTCTTGCAGCAGTCTTAGCTGCAGAGCAAAAGCTGTAAATCCCACCTTGGTCTCGCTTTGGTGTGTGCAGCTTCTCCGTTCTCTTTGGCCAAAGTGATGTTACACTTGTAATCGCAACGTGCTATGTAATCTAGGCAGGCCTTATCAGCAAGTTATTCTAGTTTGAAATAGAGTAACTAGGGGCTGTGCAGTTATTTTGGGATCTCCTGAGTGGCAGGCTGAGTCTAATATCTCTTGTAGGCTATTTTGGGAAAGTTTAGATGTTCTCACTCTGAGAGCCAAAGTGAGGACATCTGAAAACTAATAGGAGGCAGTCGTTTTGTATTTGACTGGTAGAGTCATAGGTGGCCAGGGTTCACATGCAGAAGGCTACCTCTGATAGAAGCAGGTGACCAACACGTAGGAGATGTGAGTGCAGGAGCTGGTTCATATCTGTGGCTTGTGCAGGTGGAGGCCTCAGGCACTGCAAGGCAGTGCTAACTCAACAGCCCTTGATGAAACGGTGGTAGCTTTGCAGAATCTTGCTATTAAAAGGTTCACACTGCTGTAACTCCCATTGGGAAAAAGGGTGGAGGGTTGCAGATGTCAAGTACAGAGAGAATAGGCGATGTTTCGTGGTAATTGTATTCAAAGAGTGCCAGGACAAGCTGTTGTGGCTTGACTGAGTGAAACACTAACCTGCTTGTCAGATGCAACCTGTAAAACTGCTAAAAATATTAGCAGAGCCTAATAAACTGCTGCTTCAAATCCTTTACTTCTCATGCTAGAGGGAGCAGATGAAATTGCTCTCGTTTTCCTTGCTTGTGTTCTGTCCAGGGCTTGTTGTTACCTAGTGGCTGATTGCTAGCCAATACAGTGTGAAATATATCTGCTTCGGTAGGCTGGATAGCTTCCCTCTGCTTGGAAACCGCTTTGCATTTTGCATGTTGCTCGCAGAAGACATAAGGTAACGTGCAGAGATCTGCTAAAATTAGATGCCCTTTGCTGGCCTTGGAATGCCAAGACAAAGCACTTCCATTAAATGATGCAATAAACCAGGGAGGAGCAGGAGTCTTGCATCATGCCAGGCAAGTGCAGCCAAAACTAATGCATAAGCTCTCACGCTTGCCTGCATGCGTTTCATGGAGCACGTTGAAGAGCATGGCTGCTGATGAGCCTACTGCAGCTCCAGTGACAGCTCCAATGGAGCTTCTGGACATGGTTGTTTCTCTGAGGGATGGGGTCGTTCAGCTTTAGAATTGAGATATTTTGGAAAATACAGGTGCACACTGAGCATGACATGGAGTAAGGCAGTACCTCACCCAAGTGTAATAGCAAGTTGAGATCCCTTTTGGTTGTGAGAACAACAGAATTGGCTCCAGAAGGTAGTGATAACTTACTTTGCTCTCTTAACATCATGTTTGACCTAGCTTTAATAAGCAAGAGCTGGATAGGTCATCACACTTCATTCCTTATGTATTTGGGAGCTTTCTTCAGTGCTCTTGTCCAAGGACTTCATTAACAACTTGGTGGTGGCAACTGTCCCTGTCCTCCATGATCATCTCACAGACCACAGGACTACTGCTGCTGGAGTAACTCCTATCAAGAAAAGCTGTTGTTCAGCTACAGGGCAGATTGCTACGCTATCTCACTATGGGCTTCTTGGGGGGACCTGCTACAAAGCATTAGCAGCAGAGTACTGAGATGCTAATTGAACTTGATGTTAGTCACATTTCAGCTCGGTATGCTCGAAGTTTGATGAGATTTGAGGATGCAGTGCTGGGCTACGGACGGCAGAGATGAGTGTCTGTGTGTGTGTGTGTGTGTGTGTGTGTGTGCATCCCAGCTCAGCAGCGAGGCCACTGGGTTAGCTCTCCTGCAGGCAGGCTGTCATGCTGCCCGTGCCGTGAAAATCTCCCCTTCTCCTGGCCGCATTACCACGACTGCAGCCAAAGGTCCTGCAGCTCAGACCTGCTCTCATGCCGATGCTGTTCTGTTTATTAAGCTGCATATCTTTCCCCCGCTGCTGATAGCAAGAAGTTTTGCTAAACGCTGCCTGGGCTGAAGTGTCTCTTCTCGTTGAAGGTGCAAGAGCAAAATGTGAGGAATCCCAGTTTGCATGTAGTAATGGACGCTGTATTCCTTTACTGTGGAAATGTGATGGTGATGAAGACTGTTCAGATGGCAGTGATGAGACGACTTGCGGTGAGTACGTGGGCAAAAGCAGTGTCTTTGGAGCAGAACTTGGTGGTCATCCTTGGTTTGGATTGGGTGGGGAGGTAACGAATTGGTTGCTGTCCCGGGGATAGAGATGCTCGTCCAGCACCTCCATTTCTGGAATAGAGAGTAGAGGATAAACTCCCGAGGGCAGATGAGGGTCTATCTTGATGCTTGTATTCCTCTTATGTAGTTAAGCTTCACTGAGCATTGTGAATATCTGATGGGCTTGGTGCCCGAGGTAAAAGCTCAGGACCAAAACCCTTAAATTGCCAGGATAGTTACTGTGAAGAACAGACTGCAGTTCTTTCTCTCTTATTGCATTAAGATGTGGTAAAAATCAGCTGCTGTTAGCACTCAGATACTGCTTAATCCGTGATTAAATGTCCCTTCCTTTTTTTTTTTTTTTTTTCATTTTTTTTTTCTTTCTGTAAGAAAGTGATGCTGTTCAGCCTCCATTAACACTAAATTTACTTCTGGCTGGCTGCTCTTGCTCTCAGCACCCTTGGAGGCCAGGGCAGGGTGACCAGATGTGATTAGACAAGGGAAAAGGGGCTCCCTGGCCAACCCTCTTGTGGCTGCACTGCTCGAGCAGGTCTGAACAGGTACCCTAGGGCTACGTAATGCTGCACCTCTGCAAGGCAAATGCCTTGATGAGAAACTGCAGGCGTTCAAAATCCAAATGTAATTATTACCCGTACCCATCATTAATATCCTTGGTGCAACCGAGGTTTGTTCCAAGTAGCAGCTCTTGGAGCAGCGTGGTCCCCCTTAGCAGCACCCCGACAGCGGGTGCCTGCAGGAGGGTGGATGTTCCCGTGCCCCACAGCAGCGCTTTGGGAAGCGCTCTCATGGGGCTGGTGGGAGGAGATGCTGGAGATGCTGCACGGCTTGGCTGGAGCAGCAGAGCACGTCCCCATGCTGCAAAAGTCTCGCTTAGCTCTGGTTCCTGAGCGCGCTCCTGTCCTCCTCCCTTGCAGTGAAGAAGACGTGTGCGGAATCTGATTTTGTGTGCAACAGTGGTCAGTGTGTGCCGAACCGGTGGCAGTGTGATGGGGACCCGGACTGCGAGGATGGGTCCGACGAGAGCGCGGAGCTGTGCCGTAAGTGAGCCCGGAGCAGCAGAGCCCCTGGGGAGGTCCGGGGGGCGCTGGGGCAGTTCTGAGCGTGCGCCTGCCTGCAGCCTGGCCCTGCGCCTGCTGCGGGGAAGTTCTTGCTCTGGAGAGCACCTGGTAGCGTGACCCGCGGCCACGTCAGCAGCTGGACAAGACTTCTGGCTTGTTGAAAGGGCTTGGTGCGGAGTGGGAGATCTGCCCCTGTTGATATGAGCTGTCAGTTGATAGCGGATAGCAAGGTTCACCAAAGGTTTCCTGATGGTGAGCAGCGGGAAGCACACTGGAGCCTCGAGTGGTGCAGTGGCTTGTTCACTGAGTGACCATAGTCCTTTAAGAAGGCTGATTGTAAAATAACCAGACCCCGAACAGGAACTGGGTGACTGGATTCATGGTGGGGAAGAAAGCTAAAGTGCAAAGACCTAACTAGACACTCTTGGAACTTACTCCGATCTTACGATTTCTACCTAATCCAGGAATATAGATCCCGTGGATCTATAGCACTTCATTTGTCTGTATCACTAGGAACTGCACTGAAGAGCAATCCACATGCTCAGGTCCTGCTGCGGCATGCGGTCCACGACTTCATGTTACAGCTTAACCTTCTGCAGTGCAACTGGTGGGCAATGACACGGCTACCAAAACAAAGATACTCCTGCTAAATACTAATCTACTAGGAAATGAAAAGTTTTTGTTTGGTGCTGACACCTAACTGCAGTTGTGTCCAGAGCTGGAGCCTTTCAGACCCAACTTCAGGAGGACTCCTTAAACCCAAGATCAGTAGTTCTTAAGTTTCAGGACTCTTTAAATTGAACTTAAACTTTTTCCAATAGATATGAGAACATGCCGGGTAAATGAAATCAGCTGTGGTCCTCAGTCAACCCAGTGTATCCCAGTGTCCTGGAAATGTGATGGTGAAAGAGACTGTGACAGTGGAGAAGATGAAGAGAATTGTGGTAAGGGAAGAAGGAAATGGTGGCTGCATAACTCTATTTGAAATTGACTTGACCTGAAAGGAGCTAGCTGGGCAGTATACCTGGGAAGATAATTCTTCACAGTGTCAGTATCTCCTTAACAATACATTCACGTTCATGTTGCAGACTTGTTCCAATGCTCCCCTAGTTTCCTGAGTTAAACAATACAGCATTATAAGCTATTCAGTATTTAACCTATTGGATTTTTTTTTTTTTGTCAAAACTAGCCAGAAATCACAATAGTTACAGGCTTAGCTGCATGTCAGGCAAACCACCACAACTTGCTCTCTGCAGTTTCTCAGGAGGTAACTCTACTTGGTGATTGCATCTTGTCTCTTAAAGATAGGGTAGTGACCTGTAACCAACCTTTAGGGTTTTGCACACTTGTCAGAAATTACAGAATAGGGATTTCAGGTGTTGTGAGGGACAATTCCAGGGCAGTACTTGAGCAAAGATGTGACCACTAGCCTCAGTTCAACAGTCCTGGCTCATTTTGAGCTACCAGCACAGCAGTTGCCCAAGTTTGCTGTGAGCAGAGCCACAGGGTAGACTTCTGTCAGCACTGCTTTACCCTGGCAGGCAGCAATATCCTGAACGTCGGTCTTCTGCTCCACATCCATGGGATAGCTGCCCAACTTGGCAAGCAATGGCCTTTCTTTCTGATCAGTAAATCCACAGGCAATGTCTCTAATGGAGCTGATAAAACTATCAGCCTAGGCATACTGAGCTGCTAGCTACACTTCTGCAAAATGAGCATGATTGGTACTGCTATAAGTTGTGTGAATGTGCTAAATGCCATAGGATCAAGTGGTGCAAAATCTTGATCTGTTATCCCCAGTCGTCCGGGCAAATGGGCCGCTGCTCTCCTGGGGACCAGCACACAGCACTTCAATTTCAAACTACAGTGCATGCTGACCATCTGGCTATCTAAACCACAGTCTGTACTCCAGAGTTGGCAATTCTCTTACCTTCTATCTCTGATTCACAGAGTCTGAGCCTGTTCTCCCAGAGACTAGCACTCCAAAGGGGAACAGCCCAGCTGCTCCAGAATAAGTCATATTTACCCAGTAGCACAGCCGATGCCTCCCACTCACTGCAACAACTAGAACGATAAGGACAGTCTCTGCAGGTTTCAGTTGGCCACCTGCAGGACGCTTAGGCTCTTCCAGAGCCTTACCCAAGATGCTGACCTACTGTCAGCTGGTGAAGCCAAGAACCCGCACAGCAAGACGCCCTCCTTAGGAAAATCTGCCTTATTGTGATAATCTGCTAATCCGTGACTCCTATCACTCCAGGCAACGTGACGTGTAGCCCGGCAGAGTTCACCTGCAGCAGCGGGCAGTGCATTTCCAAGAGCTTCGTCTGCAACGGCCAGGACGACTGCAGCGACGGCAGCGACGAGCTGGAGTGTGCGCCCCCGACCTGCGGCGCCCACGAGTTCCAGTGCAAGAGCTCCACGTGCATCCCGGTCAGCTGGGTGTGCGACGATGATGCCGACTGCTCGGACCAGTCGGATGAGTCTCTGGAGCAGTGCGGCCGCCAGCCCGCGCCCGCCGCGAGGTGCTCCGCGAGCGAGGTGCAGTGCGGCTCCGGCGAGTGCATCCACAAGAAGTGGCGCTGTGATGGAGATCCTGACTGCAAGGATGGGAGTGATGAAATCAACTGCCGTAAGTTAGCTTGCTCCTTTCTTCTGCAGAACGTGCTCCTTTGCTTCTGTCCGTTCCTTCAGCACACCCTTGAAATTTAACTCTGCAGTGACTCTGTCCTTAGCTTCTCGGACCTGTAGACCAGACCAGTTCAGATGTGAGGATGGGAACTGTATCCATGGGAGTAGGCAGTGTAACGGTGTGAGAGACTGTCTGGATGGCACTGATGAAGCCAGCTGTAACAATGGTGAGTGTGGGACTGAGCAAGCGTAAAGATGTCACAGAATCTCTCTTGAAACTGATGGTCACTCTCTCCGTTATATCAGTCATTCAGTGCTCTGGACCTGGCAAATTCAAGTGCAGAAGTGGAGAATGCATAGACATCACTAAGGTGTGTAACCAGCAAAGGGACTGCAAGGACTGGAGTGATGAACCCCTCAAGGAGTGTAGTAAGTGAACATACTCATTGCATTGCATTGAAAGGTAGACTGTGATTTTGCTTCCAAGTTGCTGGCTCTCAGACTGTGGGCTGCTTATCTGCATTATCTTAGTGAGAAGGAATCAGCCAAAAGCAATCCCCTCAGTAGGGTAGCTTCCCCCTAGCCAAACGGGCTCCTGGGATAGCTTCTCAATGGCTACAACGCCCTTGGTAAAAACTAAAACTCTGCTGAAGCTTCCAGAAGCTTCAGTTGTGTTACAGGTTGGTAGCTGCAGACTACAAGCAACATGATAAAGACAACTGAGCAAACGTGGACCTTGACCTTTTGGTCGAGGTGGACCTTTTGCACATGACTTCAAGTGCCAATAGGGTTTAGCAGTTGTGACAGATATAATTTGAGGGTATGAGTATGTAGTAAAGCATTCCATGAGTAACACTTAAAGACTAAATGTAAATGTGTTTGCTATCTAAGGAAAAGCCAATTCTCCTCTTCCAGACATAAATGAATGTCTTGTGAACAACGGTGGATGCTCTCATATCTGCAGAGACCTTGTTATAGGCTATGAGTGTGACTGCCCCGCTGGTTTTGAACTCATAGATAGGAGAACGTGTGGAGGCAAGTATCAGCTATGTCAACCTGGACCCCACCAATGGTGTTGGATGAAAGCAAATGAGTTATGTTGTCTTTGCAGACATTGACGAATGCCAAAACCCTGGTATCTGCAGCCAAATTTGTATCAACCTGAAGGGTGGCTACAAGTGTGAATGTAGTCGTGGCTATCAGATGGATCTTGCTACTGGAGTGTGCAAGGCAGTAGGTAAGCGTTTGCATAAGATTTCCGCACCTCCCAGTCATGGAAGCCACATAATGTACCTTACTGGAAAGGAGGCACTGCCTGTGCTGTTGCAGGCGTTTTGACCAATTTTCCATGTAACTTGTAAAGGTTTGAGTACTCCTAACATCCCTTTCCAGGGACAAGTTGTGGGAGGGAGAGACAAACAAAGTAATGACACAGTGAAGCCATCAGCATCCGCTATCGTTAGGGAAACAGACGGTGCTGAAACTCTTAAACATATCTTAAAAGAACAGTTTGTGATTGCTTGTCTAGAACTACAAAAAACCTGTCCACTCTTTGTGCAGGGAAAGAGCCATGTCTGGTGTTCACCAACCGGCGGGATATCAGGAAGATTGGCCTTGAGAGGAAGGAATATATTCAGCTAGTAGAGCAGCTGAGAAACACGGTGGCTCTAGACGCCGACATTGCTGAGCAAAAACTCTACTGGGCTGACTTCAGCCAAAAAGCAATCTTCAGGTAAACAGGCTGAAAACTTAGAGTTTCTCCTATGCATCTTGCATCTTTGTTGCTGAGAACTAGGTTCTTAATATCCTACACTGAAACACTAAGTACGGCTGGTGCAAAATCCAGTCAATATCTATGTTTAATGCTAATTACAATTCCTATTAATAGTTACTAAAATTGAGTGAGGAAGCACCTGTGGAAGCTCTTTGCCTTGTGTGTTGTATCTGTATGTTGTATTGGCTGCATGTTGTATTTCCCGAGGCATTAGCGAATAGTAGTAGCTGTAGAGGGTGCAGTAAAAGCAAGCAGCTCTTGTCTTCTAGTGCCTCTGTTGATACCCGTGACAAAGTTGGAAAACACATCAAAATCCTCGAAAACATACAGAGCCCGGCTGGAATTGCTGTGGACTGGATTTACAAGAACATTTACTGGACTGACTCAGCTGCAAAGACCATTTCAGTGGCTAGTCTAGATGGCACAAAAAGGAAGGCTCTGTTTTTCTCTGAGCTGAGAGAGCCAGCTTCCATAGCTGTAGATCCTCTCTCTGGGTGAGTATTTGTCCTGATTCTCTCAAAATATCAGACCAGCATAACTGACTTTGGTATCCTTTAACTAGCTGCTTGTTAAATGGTTATATTTAAGCCTCAAGTACTACACCAGTACTCTAGTGCATCGTACAAAAATTCTATTTTACAGCTTTATGTACTGGTCAGACTGGGGTGAGCCAGCGAAAATTGAGAAAGCGGGAATGAATGGATTTGACAGACAGCAGCTTGTGACAACAGAAATCCAGTGGCCTAATGGAATTGCTCTAGGTATGTTGAACTGGTGTTGGAGCTATTCTGGATCTTTATCAAGCTGTTCACCAAGAAAACTAACGTCGTCCTTTCATAGAGCTGCTTGCAGCTGCTGAGAAAAGTAATTTCCAGCATGTCTGAAGACAGCAGGCAACATGACTTGCCAGATACAGAAGTGATAACCCTTTGTGTGTCTGCTCTGGTAGGGGCAAGGGCCACTTAGGCCCCACCACAGCAGGCCTTCTGCACTCCCAAATAGTGACAGATTAGGCTGGCTGCAACAGTGCTTGAACTTGTGAGTTCCTGTGAGTCTTCTCCTGCGGCAGGAGTCTGTGGAGATCTTCTCCATATAGATACTGATTTTTTTTTTTTTTTTTTTTTTTTTTTTAGAAGACGGCATACGAGAGCGACTAGTGATCAGACGTGAGTTTTTTTTTTTGCTTTCTCCCATGCCCCTCTTCAGATCTTGTAAAAAGCCGTCTGTACTGGCTTGATTCTAAGCTGCATATGCTCTCCAGTGTGGACTTGAATGGCCAGGACCGTAGACTTGTGCTGAAGTCGCATATGTTTCTTCCCCATCCTCTGGCTGTAACAATATTTGAGGTAAGAATAGCTTGCTGGGCTCCTTGTGTCCGAGCTCGTGCTCTTGTTGAGGAGTGGCTAACAACTCTGTTGCCATAGCTGACTGAAACTAACCCAGAAGTGATGAGATGCAATGACTCTGTCTTCTAGGACCGTGTGTACTGGATTGATGGGGAGAATGAGGCTGTCTATGGTGCCAACAAATTTACTGGAGCTGAACTGGTTACTCTAGTGAACAACCTCAATGATGCACAGGACATCATTGTGTATCATGAGCTCGTTCAGCCCACAGGTAACTTCCATATCCTTTATAAGTATGTCAGCATACACTTACATGAAGCCTGCACTATTTGGGAGGTGGTGATCTAACTGATAGAAGCTTGGGAAATTACCTTGTTTATCTATATAGCTTTCTGCTTTTATCTTGCATGCTAGTTTTCCACTTGTATGCTGGGAGTTCCTCATTGGAAGTGACAGAAGTGGTAGCTGCAGTGCCTGTTCCTCAGACCAAATAGGCTGAAGTCTAAAATTTGCAAGGAGAAACGGTTCTAGCAGAGCGATTACTGAACCAAAATGTTGCGCTATATTTAGCCTGCAAGCTCACTCCTGTCAGTTGTTCAAGTCTAATTTGTACCCGCAGGCAAGAACTGGTGTGAAGACAATATGGTAAATGGAGGCTGCAGCTACCTGTGCCTGCCTGCTCCTCAGATAAATGAACACTCTCCAAAATACACTTGTGCGTGTCCTGCTGGATACTTCTTGCAGGAGGATGGTCTGAGATGTGCAGGTAAGGTAGTAGGACTGAAATGCTTTCCAGACCGAGTAAGGAGCAGAGGGAGGGTACTGACCCTGTAAGAGGCCAGCAGGGCAGTACAGACAATATATATATTGCATGGGTTAGTCTAATGTAATTAATCTTTGTAGAGGTGCTCCTGTAGCATGCATTAATCAAGCATGCAGTCTGCAGTGCTGTTCAAAGTCCATGCTTGGCTTTTGCATCATCATCACTTGCAATAGTACCTCGCAGCTCTATGGCTTTCTGCGGAGAGCAATATGGTATGCATAAACACACCTAGTCCCCTTCTCACAGCGTTAGGGATACATGGCCTAAGTATAAACTAGTGAGGCTCTCCAGTGTATAAACATACCGTGCTGAGAACCAACAGGCTGAGCAAGGAAGTGCTTTCCAGATCCAAAGAGGCTAATGCTCTCCTGAGCCCTGGCTGTACATCGGAGTTGCCCATGCAGTCTAGTGAAGCCACTTTCTGTGTTGAACATTGACTCTGACCGCCTCAGTCAGTGTGAAAACCTTTTGCCCTTACGTGACGAGTAGTGGCTGCTTTAAATGACTGGTGTATATACATATGCCTATATCAAAGGTGGCCCCAAACAACTAAATTTCATCCAGAAAACATGAAATGAAGGATGGAATATCTAATGGTTTAAATGGTTCCCTCTTTAAGCATCTGTAGGTTATGTGTGATTGACTGTTTAAGCTGGTTCTTAAAAGTTTTTCACCAACCAATAATTTACAGCTGAGGGTGGACTTAGTAGTGAAATAACTAACGTCCGTGTTGCCGATTAAGCTAACAAGCTGCATGATCATTGTGCCATCTGCTAAACATTCGCCACCATGGATGTTATAGCGGAGCCATTCCAGAACTTCAGGATTAACTGGGTTCTTGATCTATAATTAGTTTCAGGTGCTGGAACAACTGTGACTTACACTGAGGCTAAAGATACCAGCACAACAGAAAAATCTCCAACTGTTGGACTAGTTCCTGGAGGTACTGGTCCCAATAACTCACACTTAAACATGAGAGTAACAAAATACAAACTGACCGACTTGGTCAGTTTTTCTCCTGTTAGCCTACTTGGAGTTTTTCTCCTCTGCATGCAGATAGGGAGTACAGGTCATGTATACAGTCCACGTGCAACAGCTGGAGCCTGCCGTGATTAAACTGGTTCACTTTATGGCAGCGTGGAACCCATAGTGTCTGTGATGTCCCAGGAGTGCTTGGAAGATAAAATAAATAAATATAAAAATAAAAACCCCACTTTTCCTAAGATAAGATGAAAGCTGCTAGGCTGTTCTAGCAGTGCATTATGGCATTAATACGATAGTAGGAAGCAGGTACTTGACTAGGTCCAGAAGCTGCTGGTGCTGCTGCTCTGTTGGCAGCATCCTCACCGTTTTTGCTAATTCTCACGCAGGGTTCAACATCAGCGGCACGGTGTCTGAAGTGGCTGCTGCCAGAGGGACATCGGCGGCTTGGGCTGTTCTTCCCGTGTGTGAGTACAGCGCTCCTGAGCTTTCGGGTGGCCCTCTTGTGAGAGGAGCCTCTGCTTAGGCAGTCTGGCCAGGCGCTGCCCCGCGCTCACAGTCTTCTCCTTTCCCCAAAGTGTTGCTGGTGATGGCTGCAGTGGCTGGCTACTTCATGTGGCGCAACTGGCAACACAAAAACATGAAAAGTATGAATTTTGATAATCCCGTCTATCTGAAGACAACCGAGGAAGACCTCACAATCGATATTGGAAGGCACAGCAGTTCCGTAGGCCATACCTACCCTGCAGTAAGTAAACCTTTTGGCTTGTCTGAGGCTTTTGACTCATCTTTGAACTAGGGGCAGCACAGAGTGATAAAACAGTGACTGTTTGGGGCAAGTCTCTGCTGTCAAGAGCAGAGCCCAACTAGCATACCCTAAATTACTGAGTAGAGTGAGAGTTCATCCTTTTGGCCAAAAGCTGATGTTGTAGGAAGTGTCTATCCCTACGCCTGGCATGGAGTTACCCATAGCTGCATTGAGTTGTCACCCTGCAGAACCAGCTCCTGTTTGAGGCTGCCCTGTAGGGAAGCTGTGCCCAGTGTGGGACTCTTCACTAGCACAAGGTTTGGCTAACGCTTTCTTGTTGTGAACAGATATCTGTGGTGAGCACGGATGACGATATGGCGTGAGCTTCGGATCAGCGATCTCTTCATGTTTACTTATATTTTACACTTTTGGGGATAATAACCAGGCTTGTGGCTGAGACTTCCTCCGTTCTTGGAAGAATGAAGATACTTTCTGTATGTATGGAACACTTATGTAAATACCTATTTTATACAGCTTAGCAACAAACCTTGTAAATACCTGTCCACAACAATTCAGCTTTTAGTGGTTACGGTTTTATCAGTAACCCTCAAATTGGTCAGTCAGTAACACCGCTGGCCAAATATAAAGCACTTTCCATAGAAAGCCATATTCCAGCCACAACTTGTGCTATATACACCTGTACATATGTGTATAAGTCACTTGTAAATATTCCTGGAGAATCACTATTAAGCACTTTGAAATATTTCAAATGTAAATTATTGTACACTGTCTTTTTTTCAATGGTTGGGGCAATGGCAATAGGAAAAAACGGGTTACTATGATTGCCAAAAATTTGTAAACATAAGTAATTTTGTATGTACGACTGAAACAATCTTGTTTGCTACCTGGTAGAGGTATACAGGTGTGAATGCTCTTTGAGAAACCACTGTAAATCTTAAATGCAGAGGAGGGGGAAAAAATAATAAAAAAAAAAAAAACTAAAAAAAAAGCAATTAAATTGGTCTCCCTTCTTATGATGTAAGTGGAGTATTTGGCCAAAAGACCTGTTCAGCTGACTCATTTTGACCACTTGAAGTACTAGAGCCTTCCCCTTGGATGCTCACAGGTCTGACCAATAAATGTGGCTCTAGGAAGGTGGGATTCACCTGGCTGCCTAGTCCAGTGCTGGTGGCATGAAGGCTCTTCCTTATTCACTACACAAGCCTAGTTCTTTGAGGCAATGAGGGAGGGATAAGACTCTCTTAACTTGCAAATTCAGTGGCCTTCAGGCTACCAGTGGAAGACAGGGCTGGGGAGAAGCTCAGGTCTCCCAGTCATTCTTGCTCCTGCCTTGGTAAATCATTCTCAGTCAAAACACTTCTGAAATAGTAACAAAAAATCACAATAAAATCTGGATCAATTCCTGGGCTTGGTTTTACTGCCTATTCTCGTTGCAGCTGTTCTTTCTTGTACTGTGAACTCCTTTCCTCACAGATGGGGATAGCTGCCAACTTCTGCAAATTAAAAATAAGTTGTTTCTAGCGAACTCACAACTCTTCTGGGAGTTGAAGCCTTAACCTGGCAGCTCTTATGTATCCACAACATTTTTATCTACTTTGCTGACTAGCTTCTGTGATAAGGTAGGAGAGCTGTGGTGTTTGGGGTGAATTTTCTTGTTTTTAGTAGACTAAACTTTTAAGGCTTATTAGTTTTTGGATGGAATTCAAATTTTTTCAATTAATTTTCCAGCTCTAGATATTACAACATATTTCTATAGAAATGTTACAGACCCTAAAATAGATTTTTTTTGAATTTATTTATGAAGTTGCGTGGCAACTGAATACAGGCAAAGCTCTCTGCCTGTTTGTATGTTTTGTTTTTTTGGTTTTTTTTTTTTTTTTTTAACAGATGATGTACTTCTCCACTTTCTTGGTGAAGTTCCTTGCTATCACTGGTTTAATAATAAATGGCACATTGAATAGACCAATAAAGATGCTTTCTCACATTAATGATCAGTGTTGGAGTTGCCACTTAATCCTTATTTTTCAGAAGCTGAGTTACAGAGTTATGGAAATTGAGGTCTTGGGATTTGTTATTTATTTTATCCGCCACATACTGAATAAAATTTTCAAAACCAATACATGAAAGTAGTTTCTATAGTCAGTGGAAGATCTAACTTTCCATATATTCAAAGAGCAGCAAGGTTATGGAATGGGGGTGGGGACATATAACAGGGTCTGTTACAGATGTGTTTGGCTCTTAATCTATAAATTTTATTCTACTTTACCCTCTTCACACCATCCACAGCCCACTTGGAGAGCAGGCAGGAATTCCTTCTGTAAAAACATACCCAACTTGACTAGAGAAATGCCTTGCCCTCTTTGAAAAACATACAGAAGTCAGGAAAATATATATGTGAGTCTCTGACACTTTGTTTTAGTGCTGCTTCATGTGGCTTTTTTTGGCACTTGAAGGGTGATATAGCTGCACTGAGAAGTGTCTCGGAAGGAGCCTGTCACAGTGCTCATTGCCATTAAAATAATTCTCAGAAGTCAACCGTGTTTCTGCTTCTCTGCTACAGGCTCACATGTTCCCAGAGCAATGGGGTATAAACAATCTGTTCGGTTGGATTTTATTGTCAGTATGTGACTTATGTCCCACAAAGAGTTTACTCCCAGTAAGATATGTAAACGCAGTCTCAGCAGCTTACTTAAGTAGTATTCCATGCTGACTTTTTTACGCCAAAGCTCTGTGGTTCTGAATGCCATTTAGATGCTCTTCAGCATCCATCAGCCACTGTGAGTGCAGGGCTTGTTATAAGGTTAACTTCTTCCTTACCTTAAAATCATTCAGATTTCTATACTATTGTACTTTACCCCTGCTCCCATATCCCTTCCTATCCTTTTGGTCTGCCTTGGAGCAATAACATAAAATCTACAGTGCCAACAAAAATAGAGGAGACTAAGGAAATTCTTGCATATTACTGCTTCTCCTCTTTACCCCAGTAACCATTTCTACCCCTTTTCTCCTTGTCTATTTGCAATGTTCCTTTCCCCAAGGATATTTTATTTTCCCCTCTATCTATTGGAAATAATCTACTTTTAGTCTACCATATTTTTGCAGAAGCACAGTGTAGATGCATTCTTGTTTTTTCTTTAATGTGATGCTGAATCCTGCTTAGTTTAGACCAAGAAGGAATGAGGACAAGGAGCCGGGCTTGAGGAAAGGGGATAGGAGATTTCAGCAGCTATAAGGTTTCCCTGCTCAGAAGTACTTCAATTTATAACCTTGGATGCAGGCAAAGGCCTGTTGCTTTCTGCTGTAGTCCCCACATAGCAACCCTGCAGCTCATTCATTGGTGTAGACGTGCTCCTCTCCTTGTTTGGAGCTGGATGCGAGTTTGTCACATACTTGAACGGTGCTCTTTGGAAGAAATCTGCTCTACTTCGGTACAGAAGGCAACTTAATGCAGTCCTGGTTTGTGTTTTTCAGTTTCGTTTCTTTCGAAAAATTGCTCATATGGCAAAAAAAAAAAAAAAAAGTATAGAAGTGGAAAAGGGATTGCTGAACACATAAAATTAAGATTGGAAGGGCTGTGGCACTGCACCTCTTCTGCACATGGTGTCATGCACACACTTTGACCAATTAAAGGAAAATGATCATACAGGATTAGGAGAAAACCTAACTCCCAAGCTGAGCAGTTTGCAAAAGCCTGAATTAACTTAATGACTTTCTTTTTTCAGTGAATAATGAACTCTTTAAGCACTGGCTAAAAAAAAAAACACTTTGTTGTTGTTGTAGAGATGTCCTCTGTCAAAGATTTAGCAATTTTCAGGTCCTCTTTTTCGAACAGATGCAATTTCTTGGGATTGTACTTCAAATGCATGGGAGTGGAAGTATTTTACTGTGCTGTCAAGATGTAGATTTAAAGTTTAAATACTTGGATGGGAACTTGAGATCAACGTAACATTCAAAACAGTCCTCTCCCTTCAGTGGAAAGTATTTGTTGTTGAAAGGTCTCGTGGAAAGGCTTGCAGGGAATACAGGGAATGCTGAAAGAGTCCGGGTGCAGCTCTGCACACTGAGCTCCCTGTGCAGCAGTGGGGACAACTAGTGCATTCATTTCTGCTGCTTTTGATAGCTACATTTTTCAATTATCGGTGCATTTTATATATATACACATATATTTAAAATTCATCCTTTCTAATTCAGAAAAGACAGCTTGTGATTGGCGTGGTGGATTCTGGCTGAGGTTTTAACTGGTGAATTCAGCATGGAAGTATGTGCCTTGAGAAGGTCTTCAAGGCCTGGAATTAAAAAGCAGTTTGTAACCCCTGTCTTACTGTGGGCTAGACTTTCAGGTAATGTTTTCAGAGCACCGGGGAAAGATTTTGCTGCTTTTAATCTCTGCACGTGTGGGAGAAGGTCATTAGGAACCATGAGTTCAGGGCAGATGAGGCCTGACTGTCACTTCTGCTAAATGACTGTTTCGCTTGTGTCAATAGGATTTCATTTATCGTTCTTCAGATTTTATTTCTGCAGCTCTAAGTTGCCATGGAAAGAGAGATTTGCAGAGGAAGTATTACGGCTGTGAAATGGCTGTGAAGACCTGGTGTCTAGGAACTTTGCTTGTTCTCCTGAGGTGACACCAGGGTTGCCTGTTAACCACCTCTGGAGACTATCAGATATATAACAAAGCCTTTTTTAAAATTATTATTTTTTTTAATCCTAGCTGGTTTCTAATTTCATCTGAAATGATTAATTTAAGATATATGTTCCTGCTTCCAGGTGCAGTAATCTGTAGGTTAAGTGAAGCTTAAAATGCATTACTGTGTAGGGTGTTCTCCATGAGCCTGGCTATGGAGGGCTTGGTGTTCTTGCTTGGAATATTTTTCCTCATTGGATGAGTATGAAGTGATGTGAGTTTCTAACGTAGTCACTTAGAATGCTTGGTGCTCAATTAAGCAGCAAAAGAAAACCACCTTTTCTTAGCACCTTTTCTCTGAGCTGTGAGACTTGATGCCCCCCCACTGTAAAGCTCCTGCTATGTGGTAAAACCAGGCAAACTCATAACCATAACACACCCGCCTCCTTGCCTCAGCGGTGGAGTTGGCAAATAAAAAGCTTCAAGGGAATTGCACAGTCGACTGCTATAAAGTGACCTGCCCACAGTGAAATAGCTGGTGTTTCCCAGCCCTTTTCCATCTTTGGCAGGCTCCACTGCTGGTGTAGTTTATGTTAAGGTGACCTCAATGTACAGGGAGCCTCATTTAAACAGTCATGAGAACAGCATTTCAGTATTTGATAGGCTGCACCCCCTTGAGATAAAAACTCACCAAAATAAGATGCACTTTTCACTGTCCCAGGTGGCAGCTCTGAAGAGCCACCAGCTGATAAAGACTAGCGTTTTGTTAGCTGTTTTGTCAATTTAAAGCTGTGCCAGAAGCAGGAGGCACTCAGAGCTGTGTGGCGGACCTTCTTGACTAGTTCAGATCTTCAGGAGAAGAAGCTCCATGTACAGGGTACAGATGTAGCAGCTTATTTTGACACCACTTGCATTGGGAACTATCCCACCACTTTCACCTAGGGCTGTAACTCACCCTCTGCCGTGGAAGAAATCAGTGCTAATAAAAAGCCGTGACATTTATCTCATCTTGCTCCTCGCTGTCTGACTCTTTGGTGGCAGTTAGTTAATTTACCAAACTCTGCATGGTGCTTTGCACAGTACTGTGGGGACAGCGTAGAGAGGAGTGTGCTCTTAAATTAAATCAGAGCAGAAAGGAGTCAAGCAGCCAATTTAGGGCAGTCACATTTATGGATCTATAAAGAACTGAAATAACCACAACTTGTGTAAATCAGTTCAGGACTTCACAATGACAGTTCAGGAGTTCACTATTACAGGCCTTTTCTTTTTATAGTTCTTCCTGCTGCTTCTCGTTTACAAGCTGCGGTTGTATGCTTAATAACAGGGAAGCCCTGGTCCATAGTTAGGTTATGTTTTCCGGCCCCACTGTTTCTGTAGGAAGGTTATTGACATTTAGTTCTCTGTATTGTTTCTGGGTCTGGAAAAGTTGTGGAAACCTGCAGAGAGCCTCCTGTGCTCAGGCAAGCACACAAGGAACAGCAAGCAGGCAGAGGGAGATCCTGTGTTATTTAGGATTTTCAGACAGGAACAGTAAAATTTGATCTATATTTTTTGCTCATTATGTAAAATAGAAGGAGTTATTTTATTTCGGTTGCACTGCAGAGGACAGAAGCAGTTAAGGTTGAAGACAAAGTCACCACATTAACTTGTCTTGCGGTGATTTTGTATCCTGATGCAGGGATCCCTGTGGGTATATACGGTTGTTTTATAAGCTATAGTAATTCTAGGGAGAAGAGGAAATAAGGACTGCCAGAGACCAGTTTGACCAGGATTGAAAGTCCAGGAAATCAGCTTGACACAGCTGAACTACTTCACTAAGGAGGCCTAAGAAGGACGTAACTGAACGTAACATGCCTATACATGGCATATACATTAGCAGTGTATTAACAAATGTATTAACACCTGCTGGTGCTGCAACAAGTGGGAAGGAAATCAAATAAAAAACTGTTTTTTCAGGTACCCAGGTATGTGAATTAGCAAACCTATCAAACAGGCCAGCTTGCTGTTTGCACTGATTTGTTCATTCCCCTCGTTCTTCTCTTTGTTTCCTCATTTGCCCTGGGCATACAGCTTCTTTTTGCCTCAGTGTTTCCATCTCTAGAAAGCTGTAAGACAAGAAGCAGGTTTCACATAAACAGGCATATTTCAAATAAAGATGCT